ATTTAAAGGCACATGAACAGGCCAAGTTGCCAAGTTGTGATGTGATGTGTGAAAAAAAATCTTCATACCCAGGAAAGACTTTTGGTTCCACCCATAACAATTATTTCATTAATGCAATAGCGGTCCATTTTTCCTGAAGCAACCAGATCAACAGCTTATCCGAGGCTCGTCGTTAGAAATCCATAATGTGTCAGCCTTCTTGGTGAATTGATCAATCTGTTAACACATTATTCTCTCATTGAAAAAAACAAACAAACAAAAAAAAAGGGGAAAAAAACCCCCAAAAGCTAAACAAACCACAAACAGTTTTTAACTATAAAGCAATTATTTCTTCTTCTCTTCTCAGTACCTTATCTGCCACCCTGACAACCAGCATGAGTACGACTGTCTCAGGGTTTTATGCGCATACGTGAGTGCCTTGGTGTCTCATTACTTGATCAGGTAGTCCCTGGCTTGTTGTGAATTTGGAGGCTGGGGTTGGTCCACCTTGTTCCAGCTGGACTCTGGTTACCATCTGACTCAGGGTCAGTTACTAATACACTTGCCCTACACTTTGCCACTATTAATTAATGAACTCATCTGATCACAGAGCAGCAGCTCAGGGTGTAAAGGTTATTGCAGCGTTACAGATGGTTGAATATGAGAGTTCAAGTTACAGGCAAACACCGTAAGTGATAGGCCTCAGATGAGAAAGAGAAAGGGGGGAAAAAGAGAGAGCTTGAGAGAGATGGATGGATAGAGAGAGAGAGAGAAAGAGAGAGAGAGAAAGAGAGAGAGAGAGAGAGAGAGGGTGGAGGCTGGCATCAGTCCTCACAGAAAAAGTGAGACGGTAGAAAGCCAGCTGCCTTTAGGTGAGAACTATTTGAATATTCATACAATCCCATGAAGAAAAGCTGGATCCATAGTTTTGTTGGTTAATGATTTTTCATAGGGAATATCAATGTTAGTATTGGGACCCAACATATTCTAATCCTACTTTGGTTACGGATGCTGGTTTGGACTGTTTCTTTTAATATAAACGGCACAGGCTCTGGATAAAGGAAGTGTTTGCTGTAACCTTTATAGGCTCAGATATCATACTTATATTTTAGACCACAATTATATTGCATATAATATTTCTGATGGTCTAGTTGTAATTCTGATTAAAGATAAGCTTTAGTCTTCATTTGGTGCCAGCTGCATAGTTTTCTTAGTTGAAACCAAAATACTCTATACACAGGAAAAAAATTCAACAGAAAAGAAATTATTGCTAAGTTTCCTGCAACAGAATTAAATGTCAGAAAGGGTATATTCTGTCAAGCGAGGAAAAATTTCAACCCACGTGAATTTAACAGCAGGAGTCCTGACTCTCAGTGTGTGAACAAAGGGAAGTCCTAGCACTGTGGACAAGCCTTGTGACTCAGTTTAATGCAGCATGTCATAAATTATCCACGTGAGTGCCACAGGAAAGCAAGTTGATTACACAGCCTGCCAGGCATTTTTTTCCCTCTTGAAACTATTATTATTTTATGCGTTTTCTCACATGCTGTAAATTGGGGGGACAGGTTCAGTCTCATGGGAAAGATGGGTCATTTCTAAGTTTCAAGTTCTTGGTGGCATTTTGGTCCTAAGTCGGTTGCACTGCTGACTGTAGGAGAAACACCAGACACAACAATTAAACTATTATGTCACCGATATGTTTACCAATTCCAAAGAAAGATTAATGTCTGATAACTAGTCAATGAAGGTCATAACAATTTTACACATGTTTTTTATTTTAAACACAATGCTTTGCTTAGATGATTAAACTAATTTCAAATTTCTGTCCATTAAATAGAAAGTTAATAAGAAAACTGTTCAAAAAAAAGAAAAAAAAGAGACGCATTGCATTTCTGTTACACCTACAGGCACAGAGTTGTTCTGTCAGGCTGCTCTTCCGTGTTTTTTAATGCGGTTTGGTGCTATGGGTGTAATGCACACCCTGACAAATTGAGCCAGGGTGTTATTATGAAACATGCATGAGCTTTTTTGTGTAAGGATGTAAACAGAAACATACAGGCTTAGAGGGACTTTATAGCCAAGATTAAAAACATGCAACCAAATTATATCCATTTCATTTTCAGGTTGATATTATTTGGAAGCTTTAGAAATCTTCTATCTGTTAGGCCTTCAGTAGTAACCCGAGTCTGACAAACTCTACATGTGTTCAAAACCAAAAAAATGAGCACAAACCAGTTTTTCTATGTCAGACACATCAGCTGCAAGTGCTACACTTACTATGTTAGACTTTCAGAGTTGCACGCCGAACATTTATCTCCATAAATGTCTCACTTCAGACACAAAATAAAAAATATATAAATTTGATTGTTATTGCACAGGCAGTAGATAACGTAACACAGCTAACCAGAGCCGTCCCCACAGTAATGTTGCAGAGCTTTGTTTCCCTCTGGTGGTCAGTTGTGTGCATGACTGTCACTAGTGTTTAATGCTCGCAAGATCATGAAAAAATCCTTTCAAAATGTTGTGTGCCCAAAAAATTGCTGCTCGTTTTCCTTTAGCCACCAGTATTATAATTAACATGCTACTAAACATTTCGCTATATTTTGTATATTTAAATATTTTTATGATAGCCAGATTGTTTTTTAATTTAAAAAAAAAAAATTCTTTATTTTTTTTTATGTAAGCAACACTTCAGGAGGACCAGGAGGTTAAAAGCATGAATCAAAGACGCGCAAAAGAAAGAAAATACAACGACAGCAACAGAAGGCAGCATTACTTCGCCTTCAAATGAAAGGAAAACTGGGGGCTTAACTTCTGCAGTGAACATTTATGCGTTCCTAAACACATCCATATCACAAAAATGACATCATACAAAATGATGCATTTCACTAAACACTACCATCACAAATCATCAACCGTACGCGCCAATCTTTATTTTGAAAACCTTAACCGGAAGCCCTTTTTTTAAAAAAATCCTACACTGCTTGAATCTGATGAGGCATCCCTGGAGCGCGCAGCGTAATTGCAGGTGGAAAGCCTGGGAAGCAAGAAGCGATATAAGCAGGTGTCAAGCCGGGTTCAGGTTCATGATACGTTCCGTTTTTCTCCTGGATTTCGGTTGTTTTTGTGTGTTTGTGTCCCCCCCGCCACCTTCGATGATCTACAATGCAGACCTCAGCTTGGCTCGTCGGTCGTTGCGCTCTCATCCTCTGCGCGCTCCAGCTGATGGACGGGGCGAAAGGACAGAAGCAGTGTACTGAGGTGAGGCTACAGTCAATCAGTCTGAGCGGTTTATCGCTATATCAAAATAACTGACTGTTTATACAGAAAAGAAATAAAAGGCGAAAGGGTGCTGTGTCTGCGCACGCTTGAGCGAGTTATTAATCTAGTGATCGAACAGTAAACACGATTAAACATTGATGTCACATTTCCGGGTCGATTTACGGTGTAGGTTTGGAGTCCCACTTTATAATTTGCAGCATGTGTGAAGACGCACATCTCAGCACTGCTTTCTGTTTAAATAACGCGAACAACATGGAGGAGTATGAATCACTGTTCAGGTCTGGTGTTTGTTGAACTTCACCAGTCTGTGCTATTAAGTTATCAGTTTCCTGCATGAACTGGCTTTTCCTTCCCTCTGGTCTGGCACAGCTCAACACGTTCTGACACTAGGTTGGCAGCACAACACACACACACACACACACACACACACACACACACACACACACACACACACACACACACGGAGGTGTCCCAAGATAGAGGAGCAACATTCCTCTAAGTCATTCTCTTTTTTCACACTGACAAAGAGATTACTGCGGGCCTCCAGTTTGTTCCTATATGGTGGTTAAGTCATTGTGCAGCTTTAGCTTTTCTGGGGAGGGTGAGATTTACCAGAGCTGATATTTACGCTGAAAGAAATTTATTCCGAAGAGGACTTTGCTGAATCATGGTGTGAGATGAATATTGAACAGCTGCCACATCAGTGATTGACCACTGCACTTATGGGAGTCGCAAGAGATAACGAGGGTTTAGTGTTACACAGTTCACAATCCTGTATTTATTTTTTGTATCACTACAGCAGTAAAAACAGTTTGTGTATTAATATGCTTGATTTAGCCTCATTTCTTGTGACCTTTATCGGAAAGCGTCTCTGAGCTTTAACCTTAGACCCACTTAAAACCAGGGGAAAAAATCACTCCGCACACAACAGCATGCATGTGCCGGGGTGTCAAAATCTGGTTTGGCTCAAGGAATAGCATTATGTAAACTGTCAGAAATTAGGCCACCCGCCTCTGTAGACACAAGATGAGGAGAAGTGGAATCAAGAACACTGGGCCAGTGCTTTTCACTCATGGGCCACAGATTAAAACAATTACATGCAATAATCGAATGTCTAAGTGAGCCTACTTGAAATGTTAAAAGCTGCTGGTAAAATGACTCAGCCTCTTTCACCAGCAGCCCACTGCTGCCATCTCCCCTACTCCTATCGCCATGGAGATGGTTTGTTGTGACCAGGGGCAGAAGAATGGTTTTAGCTTTAGAGATTACACTGTGACTGGCACTCATGTTTTTCAGCCAATAGCAGCTGGATTCTGTAGGAATTCATTGTTAGTAGCAAGCAGTCTGCTCTGATTTGCTGGTGATTCTTATCTGGAAGAGATGATTCTGTGCTTTGGTTTGGGTGGAGATGTTTGCTGACCTGCCTCTGGCCTATGTTTACTCAGGTTTTATGTCCAAGCCTGCTATGTTGACTGACTTCTTATGTTTTGTGTGTCTCCCTGGCAGACTGATTACTACTTTGAGTACACGGAGTGTGACAGCACAGGATCTCGGTGGAGAGTGGCCATCCCACAGCACCCTGGGGCCTGTACTGGACTACCAGCGCCAGTGCGAGGCACAGAATGCAGTGAGTTAAGTGTGCGTGTGGAAAATGACTGAAGCTGATGTGTGTATGTCACCTTCTTATCAGTAGCTGGAACTTTCACCACCACAACCTGACTGAGTGTGTTTGGACGTCGACCAACCATAGAGTGAAGCTACAGGCCAATAACCTTGGAGCAAAAACAATGTTACGTAATATCTTTCTGTGCTTGCTATGAAACAAGGCACATAATTGATGGCACGTGTTGATGAAGGTTAGTGGTTGTTTAATGTGAAGTGAAAGGACAGGGAGATGTTAGTGTAGCTCCAAGAATGCACAGGTGCTCACTGACAAACATGTGTCCTTGAGGATGTTAACTCAAGCTCGTTTGGCGTTTTTTATTGGGCCATGTAACTAACCTTTCCAGTCGATGCTAATGTATTTTTTTTTCTTAAGTAAAAAAGTGAGTCATAGAGGGTGTTACTGTTTTCTTTTTGTAGTTTTTGTTTGACACTCTTATCATAATGGAGCCAAGATGACACCGTTTCATTACATGATGGAATGCTCATGTTGCTGGTCATACAAGTTTGGTCTTTATCATTCACCTGTACAGGTTTGCCCAGTGCTTTTATTCAACACCACCTCACTAATGGATCGAATCCAACAATAGGGTTCATGGATGCTTTCTTTTCTTTTACTGTTTTCAAACCCACATGTGTTATGTATGCATAAATTGTTTGGAAAAATTTTTATTTATTATTTTAATAATAATAGTGTCGTGAACTGGAATGCACTGAAGACTGAACTAACAAAATGCTTTCCATATGAGCACTGTTTCTCACCTTTTGTTATTTTAAACAATTTTTTGTTTCCTTCTTCCTCCTCACACCACTATTTATATACACTTGTGTTCTCATAGGTTCGTCATCTAATTCTAACTCGCATATGATATTTCAGTGTCATTCACTGTATTGAAATGGAGCACACTGCCCACTTAATGAGCTTATCTGTCACCAGTTGTTATGTGTAACTATCAAAGTGCCTGCCAGAGCAAACTATTTTTAAATCTAGCCTTGAAGCAGTTGCATGCTCTCACATTTAGCATAGAGAAGCATCACAATGCCATTAGACCAGAACAGGTATGAGGAAGAACTGTCCTCATACCTGTTCTGGAGAAATGCAGAGACACAATGGCTCAGTGAGGGGAAAACAAGTACAAAGACGCTGTGTAACAGATGTAAGAATGAAGTTTGTCAATCACTGGGGTTACATTACATGTAATGGCTGATGCGACCATGCTTTTTGCTGTAGAAGGTTGGTAAATTCAAAAACTGTTTTCTTTCTTTCACTGTGTCCACTAGCCTTCTCGTGTAAGGCTGGAGAGTTCCTGGAGATGTCAGCTCAGGAGTGCACTCAGTGTGCAGCAGGAAGCTACTCCCTCGGTAGCGGTATCCGCTTCGACCAATGGGATTACATGCCTATTGGATTTAGTAGCCTAGCAACCACCCTGGAGAGCAGCCTACCGGGTTATAACAGCCTCACCTGTAACAGGTAATTGAGAAAGACATTTAAAAAAGGGAAAAAGTTGGGAAAAAATACTATGCTGGATTTATTTTTTTTTTTCTTGTAGCTCTTCCTGGGTTCCTCAGGGAAACTATCTGGAGTCCAACAGGGATGAATGCACAGTCTCTCTCATCTATGCTGTGCATCTGAAGAAACAAGGCTCAGTTAGCTTTGACTACCAGTATCCTGACAGTAACCTGCTATTTGAGTTCTTTGTGAGTATTTGTTGCCTTTCAGTAGAAACATCTGCCATCACTTCATTATTAACTGTAACTGTACAGTACTCTCTGTATATAGTAACCATTGTCCTTAATGTAAATATGTAAGAAAAATTGTGTATGTTTCTGTTCTGTGTCCTGTGTACTGTTTGTTTGTATATGTGTCTTTTTGGCTGCTGTTACAACCAAATTTCCCCTTGTGGGACAATTAAAGAATTATTCTATTCTATTCTATTATTATTGCTTGCATATACATCTATCTATGCTATTTTATTTGTAAGAAGCCTGCAAGAGCTAATTAAAAAGTACTATAGATTGTGCTCAAGCTAAAGCATAGTTACATAGTTTTCTTACAGTTAATTCTAGTACTTCATTTTTTTGTATTTTCCCCTGTCCACTTATCCTAACACAGCATTAATGTAGTGATGCGGTGTGTATGCATGAACATATAAACCATGCACAATGTTGTAACTGAAAATTAGTGTGAAAAAAGGGGGAAGGTTTTGATCTGCTTGTGTGTGTTTAGATCCAGAATGACCAGTGTCAAGAAATGGATCAGTCTGATGACAAGAAGTGGCTCAAGCTCACCAAGCATGGTGAATGGGCAACTCATACGGTAAATGTCTCACAGAGCAAGATGACGAGTAGACAGAAAGGGCAGGTTTTTAGCCTCGTTCTCCCAAAACAAATGTATTGTGTAACATCCACCGAGCGGATAGAAGCAGGAAGCGTGTACACAGAAAGGAGCTGGCATCATTTTATATTGTCTCCAGTAATTTTCCACTCATGCTGTAAATGAGCTTCTGCACGTACATATTTTGGTTTCTGCATTGTGAATTAAAATGTACAATTAAATGTAATATATGGATCTTCTTGAGATGGGTTTCTAGTGGTGGTACTGCTCCTTGCTTCTTCTCGCAGGTTAGATTAGACTTGTTTGGTTCAAGAAAATGTTCCACATTGTTCTGCTATTTTAATTCCTTAATAAGAAAAAAAAATATATGAATTTACTTGCGTGGCATTATATGCCATGAAAACAAAACAAATCTGTATAAAGTTACTGTTGTCCTGAATACTTTGCAGTTTATGTTTTCTGAACTTGTGCTGTTAAGCTTTATACTTCATGGTTAGATGGCTATAGAGTTACAGCTTAGCTGCTGCAATTAAGCTGATTGCATATAATGACCTTTCTTAATTTTCAGATAGAATATTATATTAATTATTAATATTTAATCCCAAGCTGATGATGCATTGATATGTGTATTCTAGGTGAACCTGAAATCTGGCACCAACATCCTTTACTGGAGGACTGGTGGTGTTGCGATGGGAAAAAAAGTGGTGAATCCTGCACTGCTGAAAAATATTCATATTGAGGGTTGGTGGTTACTTTTGCTTTTTTCTTTTTCTCTTTATAAAAAATGACAACAAAATAGATCAAACAGTTACTTCTTCTTTCTATCTTTTCTGCTCCGCTCAGGTGTTGCCTACACATCAGAGTGTTTTCCGTGTAAGCCGGGATCTTTCAGTCGAGTCCCTGGCTCCTCCTCGTGTGAACCCTGTCCTCGGGACACCTATTCTGGCCATGGTGCCAGTTCCTGCACTCCCTGTAACACCAGCACTCAGTATGCAGGTATGAATAAAAAGCTAGATTTGCCATTTCAAATCTGTTTTGAATCCTAATTGCTATCACTGCTATTCAGAGAAGCACATCTAAAGGATATAGATAGAGCTTGTCCTATTTTTATGTCACAGTTGTCAAACTTTAGAAAAAGAAACACAGTGAGCCCGTGTGATCGCAAGGGAATAGCAGGTTTTGGCAACTGGGGCAGCAAAAGTAATGCTTGATCATTATGTTAGTATATTTGCTAACATATGTAATATGATAGGAAGGCAGCCAATGCACTAGAATCTTGAACTAGAAGTTTAGATTTTTTTTTTTTTTTTTCCCCAGGGGTTTTGAATGAGGACTTTTCAGTTAAAGTACTGTGGTTATTTTATTTGTATGATGTATCTTGTAACATACTTTTACATACTGCTACATAATGTTAACATACTTTTTGAAAATGTATTTAGTTGGATCTTTCTACTCAAGTGATTTAAAAAAAATGTATTCACTTATTTTTAAAATTGGCCTGTACCATATTAAATAGGCACATTTCAGGATAAATATTAAGGACTGCCAATAAGTTGCACTCCTTTGGATTATGAACTAAATATGACCCAACCTACTCCTTGCCTGGGACAATGATTGGCCATTTCTTGTAGATGCACTGTTGACCGATATGTATTTTGATGTTATTAATATTTTCTATTTGAGCTGTACTAGGTGATGTGTTTTATGAAGACCAAAAGGCAAAACCAGCTGATATGGCAATACAACTCTTCTTTGTACTTCAAACGAGTTGTTCAGACTGTTTAACCATCTAATGAAATTTAAGTTTTAAGATGAAAGAACAGACAATTCCACAGTTTTTACTGAGGCACACTCTGCCTTAATAAAGAATCATATAATGCATTTAATTAATTTTCTGTTTAGTAAAGTAATTTAAAAGTCACTGGATACAGCTAGATACGGTAGAGGATTTGGGCCACCGGGGGGGGAAAAGTGGGCATGTCTTTTTTTCTTTTTTCTTTTTATTTTTCCAAAATTCTGAGCTTAACCTCAGAATTCTTTCTTTTGTCTCAGACCTATGGAAAAGAAGAAAAAAATCACATGCCCACTTTTTTTTTCTCAGTGGCCCTAGTCCTCTTTCCTAGCTAGATCATCCAGGGAATAAACATATTTTATTTAGTACATATTTTGCGACTGTTGCTTTGCTAGTGTTGTATCCATATAAAAGGAAGTGGGGGTGGGGGTGGGGGGATCAATTCTGCTTAAAATTGTTTTTAAATAATTATATTTGCTTTATATCTCCTATGCTAATATTATCTAATAGTAATAGTATCTAATAGCTAATAGTATCCCCACTTTTCCTAGCTGAGGGATCTGGCTCATGTAAGGACAGACCTCCCTGTTCCATGAAGGATTATTTCCAGATCCACACAGCTTGTGACCAAGAGCGCAAGGTGAGAGAAAAGAGGCTACCTCTTTACTAAAGAGCCTGTTGAGACTTGCTCTATAATCACAGTTTGTCCTTTTTATTCCAACTCACACCTTTTTTTCTTTTATTTATTTATTTATTTATTTTTTATCATCTGATTTCAGACACAGGTCATATATAAGTGGGTTGAACCTAAGATCTGTCTTGAGAATGTGACTGGAGCTGTGACATTGCCTCCAAGTGGAGAACGAGAGCCCTGCCCCCCCTGTAACCCTGGTTTCTATAACAATGACACGGCCACATGCTCACCATGTCCACCTGGGACCTTTTCCGATGGCATGAAACGTACTGAAAACTTTCTATCTTACAGTCCTCATTTGTCTTCCACTTACCTTTTATTTCATGCGGTTTCCCAATTGTGTTTTTCACTGTTTGTCCCCAGCATGTCAGCAGTGTCCTGCAGGCTCTGAGCCCACCTTGGGTTATGAGTACAAATGGTGGAATGTTCTTCCTTCTAACATGAAGACTTCCTGTTTTAATGTCGGCAATTCCAAGTGTGACAGTATGAATGGTAGGTGTTTATGGCAAGACATGCTCACTTTTGCTCTTTCTCTCAATTCTGGTCTATTTTGTCACTGTATTGTGTGATGACTCCAATGAAGTGAATCAAAAAGCATGGCAAATATTTGGCTACCATTAGCAACACGCACTAACCGCAACACCCACACGACACTAACCGCAACACTGACACCAAGGCCCACCAACACCCCACCCCCAACGACAACAATGATGCCAACAGCTCTTCCTTCTCCTCCAACAAACTAGTTAATTGTGCTCATGGGGAGGAGGTGGGACGATTTATCTTTATTTTAAGCAAATACACCAGAGTTCATGCAGTTTTCTAAATGTCTATACATTATTATACTTTACTTTATTTATTTATTTATTTATTTATTTATTTATTTATTTATTTATTTATTTTCAGGTTGGGAGGTTGCAGGTAATCACATCCAGGCTGGAGCCGGAAGCTCTGATAATGATTACCTCATCCTCAACCTCCATGTTCCTGGATTCAAGTAAGGATAGTTTCTTTGAGTTTTTTAGCCTCCACTTTTGCCACTGAGCTATTTCTTTCAGCTGTGACTAATTCCCTTCTTCTGTTTATTTGCCATCAGGCTTCCTACTTCAGTGTCGAGTCATTCAGGGGAAGAATTTGGTCGCATTACATTTGAATTTGAAACTTCTTGCACAGCTGACTGTGAGCTCTACTTCATGATGGTGAGAAGAGTTACTGACACGATTGCTGCTCTGAAAAATGTTACCATAGATTTTCAAACCAGAAATTTGTCTAATGAATCTTTTAGGATGTAAACAGGAAGAGTACAAAAATAGTGGAGTCTTGGGAGAAAAACAAAACAAGGCAAACCTACACACACATCATGACAAAGAATGCTTCAGTTTCCTACACATGGGCCTTCCAGAGGACTAACCAAGCTTCAGATGTGAGTAGAAGTACACAATTACACACAGATATGAACTAATTTAAACTACATTCACTTCAAAGCTGTCAGTGAATGATGTTCATTAATACTTTCCACCCATCCATCCATTTCCTTCCACTTATCCGGGGCTGGGTCATTAGGGCAGCAACCTAAGTAGAGACGCCCAGACAGACCTCCCTCTCCCTGGCCACCTCCTCCAGCTTGTCTGGGGGAACACAAAGGTGTTCCCAGGCCAAATGAGAGATATAATCTCTCAAGCTTGGCCCGGGTCTGCAACGCAGCATCCTCCCAGTGGGTTATGCCTGGAACACATCACCCTGGAGACCCCAGCAGGCATCCTTGTCAGATCACCTCAATTGGCTCCTTTCGATGTGGAGGAGTAGCAGCTCTACTCTGAGCCTCTCCCAGATGGCCAAACTCCTCACTTTATCTCCAAGGGAGAGGCCAGCCACACTTCAGAGGAGGCCCGTTTCCGTCACTTGTATCCACGATCTCGTTTTTTGGTCACTACTCAAAGGTCGTGAGCATAGCTGAGGGTAGGGACGTAGACCGGGAAATTGAGAGCTTAGCTTTTAAGTGCAGGTCTCTCTTCACTACAACAGACCGGTACAGCATTCGCATCACTGGCGCTGCAGCACCAATCTGTCTGTCAATCTCCTACTCCCCTCTTCCCTCGCTTGTGAACAAGACCCCAAGATACTGACCCAAGGCTCTCCACTTGGGGCAGGAACTCGTCCCTAACCTGGTTTAGTATGGACATGGCACCCTTTTCTGGCTGAGGACCATGGCCTCAGACTTGGAGGTGGTGATTCTCATCCTGCTGCTGGAGGCCACCGCCTGATGAAGTCAATGGAGCCACATCTGCGAAAGGCAGAGATGAGATTCTGAGACCACCCAAGTTGAAGCTTTCTGTCACTTGGCCTAGAAATTCTGCCCATTTAAATTCTAAATTGAATCTGTAACAAACGGCAACCCTGGTAGAGTCCAACACCCACTGGGAACAAGCCTGACTTATTACAGGCTATGCAGACCAAGCTCTTGCAATGGTTGCAAAAGGATCAACTGGCTCAAAGCAACGGGCCAGACACCCCATACTCCTGAAACACCTCCCACAGAACTCTCCGAGGCACATGGTCAGATGCCTTCTCCAAGTCCACAAAACACATGTAGATTGGTTGGGCAACCTCCCATGCACCCCCAAATGTCCTCAAAAGGGTAAAGAGGTGGTCCAGTGTTCAGCGACCGGGACAAAAACCACATTGTTGCTCCTGTGTCCAAAGTTCAGTCTTTGTACAACACCCAGAGCCTTTAGGAACCTCATCCACTCCAGGGGCTATCCCACCAAAGAGTTGTTTAACTGCCTCGGTGACCCCACCCCTGGTGATAGATGACTCGTCCCCTCCTCCCCAGACTCTGCTTCCTCTATGGAAGATCCCACAGTCTTCTGTTTATTTGCCATCAGGCTTCCCACAGTCCCACCTGAGCCAACTCACCACCAGGTGGTGATCAGCTGTCAGCTCAGCACCTCTCTTCACCCAAGTGTCAATCACATACAGCTGCAGGTCTGATGATACAGTTACAAAGTCGATCGCTGACGTGTGGGCTAGGGTGTCCTTTAAAATTATAAATATATTTATATATTATTAATTAAATTAGAGTTGTATAGAAATATATAACTCTAATTTAATTTACCTCAAATATTTAATTATCTCATATAATTGCAAACCTTATTACATATAAAGTGCAAAACTGTAAAAGAATAGCAGTAACCTTTGCTTCTTGCTTTTGGCTTTAAACTGTCTTTGGTTGCTGTTGTTGTCGTTGTGTTGTAATTTGTGCAATAGCTAATAAAATCTGAAATGACTGAGTTCTTGAGGTCAGACCACTTTAGGCACACAAAGTACTCCCTTCCTTCTTTTTGGTTCTAAAGATAAATTCTGAAGTGTCATTCAGTGTCTTGCACAATATATCAACACTGGAGATTTTATTTCACGTCATCTGGCTGATGTGTATTTATCTCTCTCTACCTAAGGTACGACAGTATGTCAAAGATGTGGCGCGAATCTACTCCATCACTGTGAGTAACGCGGTGGATGGAGTGTCCTCTAGCTGTCGGGTTTGTGCCCTCGGTGCACAACCGTCCAGCTCTGCGTGTGTGCCGTGCCCACCTGGGCATTACATAGACGCAAGTACGAGCCAGTGCACAGAGTGTCCACCTAACACATACCTGATGCCTCACGCTGCACCAGGCCCTGATGCCTGCAAATCCTGTGGACCTTCCAGCAAAAGTGACAAGGTTTGTTGCTATGATTGTGAAAGAAATTAAGAAAATTCTTGTTATCAGTAAGGCGGTACACCAGACACCTGTGTATTTGTTTTCCAGGAGCACAGCTTATGCTATAGTGACTGTCACTTCACCTACACAGAAGGCAATGCCACTCTGACTTTTGACTTCAGCTCACTTGGGCCAGTGGGGTCACTGATGAATGGCCCAAGCTTTACCTCAAAAGGAACCAAGTACTTCCATCACTTCAATATCAGTATCTGTGGAGGAAAGGTGTGCAAAGATGAAAATGCGCAGAAAATCCTGCAATTTTAAATGTGTTGTGCACAAATTGAATGTCATTGCAATTTTCTCTTTTTCTTTAAGGGTCAGTTGGCAGTATGTACAGACAATGTAACAGACCTATCCATCACCGACTCCCAGAGAGAAAAGGAAGGCCCCAATGCCATCACGACCTTCATCTGTCAATCAACAATAATCCCAGCTAGTGGACGAGGATTCCACACAGCCCTCTCCTCGCAGTCCATTAACCTGGCTGACACATTTGTTGGTTAGTGAGCATCAAGACGGTGGCAGTGAAGAGAATTGAATTTAGGATTACTTTTTTATGCCTCTATTTTTATTTTAAAAGAATAAAATAATATGTGATAATAAGTAAAAGGTCCTTTTTTGTGGGGATCATTACTCGTATAATATAAAAGGTCTTTTTTGCTTGTCTTTAAATGTTAAACTCCTGTCATAGAAAAGATTAAAGACAAATTAAAAGTAGACATATTATTAAGTAATACATTTCTATAAATATTAACAGGGGCAACTGTGGATAACAACCTTGAAGGAATAAGTGTAACACCAGATCTGTTTTCCAAGACCTCCAAGAAAGTTCCTGATGTCAACTTTTACTACAGGTGCCTATCATTACAGGCATTATTTATAGAGTGGAAAAAAAAAATCACTGCTTTAAGCTTCTTGCTTTCTGTGCTTTTTGGTGTAAGGTCTTTGGAGACAACTTCATCTTGCGAGTCGGGTCGGAGCGTGGTGGTGACACTTCGCTGCAACCCATACAAGAGCACTACGGGGGAGCTCTCAGTACCCAGGTCTTTCTCATCAACGTCTCTCTAATTTTCATGTGTTTGTCACTGTTCTGCGCTGTGGTCCAGCTTACTGAACAAATTGTGCCTTTGGCTATTTCAGTCAGTGCCCTGCTGGAACGTGTGATGGTTGCACCTTTCAATTCTTATGGGAGAGCTCAGGGGCTTGTCCTACATGCACAGAAAGAGACTACCATCAGATAGAGGGAGTCTGCAAGGGAGGAAATCAGGTGTGTGTGTGTGTGGACATATACTTGTCTATGAGTACTGGATTTTTCTTAAGGGCACGTTTAATGTGAATTAAAACAGACTGTGTACTGCAGCTTTCATTTGAAGTGGCTTATATTCACCTCCGATTTTAAAATTCTTATCCAATTTTATAGCCAGCCAAGCAACCAAACGGGTTATAATTCCACAACGGTTCATGCTAACAAGCCTAAAGGTTGTTAGCATCCAAAATATCCATGTACGTAGAAAAATCCCACAAAGCTTAAAGTCAGCACTATAACAGTCTTTGTTTCACTTAAAATGCAGGTTGCTGGAATGAAGACAAACCTATTGAACACTTCAAATTTCATATTTACACTTACTAGTGTATGCGCTGTCCCATTCATATGTGTATATCCACCCTTAGGACTTGCTGTATGTGTGGAATGAACCAAAGCTGTGCATGGGTGGTGTGCCCTTGCCTGCTAAGAAAACACAGACCTGTGAGGGCATTGAGTTCTGGATCCAGCTTGGTGCAGGACTGGGAGCTTTCACTGCAGTGTTGCTCGTTTCCCTGACCTGCTATTTCTGGAAGAAGAACAAACGGTATCTTTAGCCTCTTGTTCTTTAACTTCTCACATCATTATTTAATTACATGTTTTCTCATTTTCCCCTTAATTCCCCTTAATATTCTCCCCTTCTCCCTTTCTCACCTTCTTCCTCATCACTGCTGTAAGATTTTAGCTTCACATGTTTTGTTTTCTTTCCTTAACTTTGTCTCTTCTTCTCCATTATTACCAAATCCCATCTCTTGCCATTCTGTCTCTGTAACATCACAGTATTTATGTGAAGATTCTTCGTCTTCTTCTTCTTGTAAATTTCTGCAGTATTGATTCTGTCACTTGTCTCTGTGCAAGGTTGGAGTATAAGTACTCCCGGCTGGTGATGTCTGCTAATAAGGAATGTGAAATGCCAGTGGCTGACAGCTGTGCTGTGATGGAGGGGGAGAATGAGGCAGACATGGAGGATGAAGTTGTATACACAAAACCTTCTCTACTTGGAAAACTCAAAGCCATAGCATCCAAGGTGAGAGACACAGTATCACTATACTTTTAAAGCCACAAAGTTCCACAGTGGTAAAAAAACAAACAAACAAACAAACTATATAGTGTTGCAAAATAATTCTCTTTTCGTTTTCATTTTAGAGAAATGGAGATAACTATGAAAATGTGCAGCTAAATTCGGCTCATTCCAAAACATTGGTGTGGAGCTAGAGTGGAAGAACCGTGAAGGGGGCTGAGGGGAGAAATCAGACCTTCAAGAGACTTTTCCCACTTTGTGACCCCTATCTAACTATCCCCTTTATAAGCTTTGATACCTGGAACACCAACTGTTTGTATGTGCACACACATATAGACACAACATCAGAGCCATGCTCAAACGAGTCACACTAACCTGGTGGCCTTAAAGCTTGGTACGATGGAGCTGTCCAGTTAAAGACTGTGAAGCAGGTGTGTGGCTGACACTTCCTGATAGCTGTCTGATTCTAATTTATTTCAGGAAAAAATTGATAGAAGAGCTCAGGGTAAGACAAAGACCTATTTAAGATGTCCTGTTTTGCTATTTTTCTCTCTTCAGTTTGCGTATCGTCCAATATTTCGTTGATACCTGTGGTATAGTTCATCTTCAGGAAAGCTATGATTTGCCTTTCCATATCCCACAGATGTTTACACAGATTGGTTTATTCTTTTCATGTACAATCATTATCTTCTCATGTTTTTGTTGTTGTTGTTTTTTTTTTTTTTTGAAATTATATAATGAAGAGAACTACTGATCAGTTGAAATTTGAATTTGCCATATTCTGTTTGGGTTGTGGTGTGGACTGTCCATGTACTTCAAATAAATCATGATGTATTTATGTATAACCTGACTCAGTTTGATTATCTTATTAAAAAGCTGCTGAGAAATTAAGCAATAAATACATTTGACTTAAGGTTAAGTCAAGTGTATTTGTTCAATACTATTTAGACTCAAGGTACTTTTGCATGCTTTGCAGACTGAAAAGAGGAATACAAAGAGACATTTAAAACATCTGTAAACATATGTATACAAGCTTGCACAAACAGTCATTATTAAAATATGAAGACATTTCACAGATGTCCAGTTATATAGATCTGGTGCACTTGCTTCTATTTTAATGGGATTGTCACCAAAAATTCAAGTTGTTTCTAATACGGCCTTAGTAAAAGCTATGTCAAATCATCATTAACACTATGGGGCATCCATAAAAAATGGAACTGGCAAACAAAAATGTAACTCGTGAAGAAATATGCACTCATCAACCACTTTGTTAGGGGATCCTATTGTTAAGATGACCTGCTGAAGTTCAAACTGAGCATTAGAATAAAGAAAAGAGATCTAAGTGACTTTGAATGTGGCGTGGTTGTTGGTACCTGACGGACTGGGCTGGTTCACACACAACCATCCTCGAGGTTTACATTTCCCCACAGAGGCAGTGCTTTGTGGGGAAATGCCTTGTTGATGTCAGAGAAGAATGGCCAGACTACTTTGACCTGATAGGATAATGAGAGTAACTCAAATAACTACTTGTTAGAACCAAGATACGTAGACGAGCACCTCTGAATGCACAACATGTCACAGCTTAGAACAGATAAGCTGCAGTAGCAGAAGGCCACATCAGATGTCACTGTTTTCTTTATCATGACAGTGAGTTCAACATACTCATTTGGCCTCCACAGTTACCAGATCTAAATCCAATAGAGCACCTTTGAGTTTTGTGCAACGCCAGATGCAGGAGATCATTCTACATCACAATGGTGATGTGTTTCAAATAAGATCATTTTGAATTTGATGGGATCAACATATCTCCAAAAAACTTGGGACAGGGTGATGTCCCCATTTCATTTAACAGCAGCTTGTAATTGTGAGCAAAGGAGACCATGTGCTGGAATTTTTTGGGAGAGGTGATAATGGACTCAATAGCTACTCACCAGTCCTGGGTCTTATTTGTATTTTTGGTTTTCTGGTGTGAGAAATATTTGACCAATGTTATCCTAAAAAATAATTTCAAATTTAAAACAATCTAACCACAAATGGTGATTTCCACCTTTTCTCAGTCCAGTATAAATGAGCCTTGACCCAGAGAAGACGTGTGTTTCTGGATTATGTTTGCAGTGATTTCCGGAAGTGTTCTCAAGCAGTGATTTCCATTATAGAATCATATTTGTCTGTTAATGCAGAGCTACCTGATGGCCCAAAGATCATGAGCAATCAATACTTATTTTTGGCCTTTTGCCTTGCCCAACAAGATTTTTCTGGATTCTATGAATCTTTTGATGCACTGAAGATAATGAGTTATCGAACATCTTACATTAAGGAAAATTATTCTGAAATTGTTCCACAATTTGTAGATGCAGATTGGTGAACATCTGCCGAGCTAAGATGCTTTTTTTTTTAAAAACAAAAAATACAGAATATGTTACTCACCTGTGCACAATTAATTTTGCACAATTGCAAAATGTTCCTCCAGATATTTCTCTTTAGTACTACTTATGTTTCCAGCCTTTTGCTCTTGAAATGTGTGGCTGCTATCAATTTCAAACTAAGCAAATATTGTTCATAAAATGGTAAAAATGTCTCAGTTTAATGTTTATGAGATTTGCAAATGATTGCATTATGTTTTAATAAAATTTTCCAAAGTGCCCAACTAGTCATCGCACAACAAGTTTACAAATAAGGCAGAACTTCATTTCCTGGTTTTGGTTGTTATAGTGGAATGAATGGCATTCATCAGTCAGAAGATTTATATCGTGGCCTGAAAGTATTCAGTATTTCCAAACCCCTCTGGCACTTGGCTTCAACAGTAATATAATATTCTACCAACGGAGGGCACAATATTACCTTAAAATGATATATTACTTTTTAAAGTTACCATTGCGCAAATCATCATGCTGGCTCAGAAGTGGCTACTTTTGACTTACTGATATACAGGATGCGAAAATTACACAGCTGAAGCAGAAAAAAAAAAAATCCCCCTCGCGGTTAGAAATGATACATTTGATGAGCCACTTTCCCCCCACCTTTTTCCTTAGCAACTCACCCTGGTCTTCACTGGCATTCGCCATATCGTCCTGCAGAGGTCAGTCAAACATTAAGATTTTAAAAGGTAAACTCATGTCGTTTAATTTAACGTCCTCTTTGATTTTTCCCTGGTTTTTGCTTCCCTACAGAACATCCTTTTTCAGTACAAGTTTCTGAAAATTTACCTGTACACGATTCCCGAGTGTTTAATGCCGCTGGAGAACTCCTTGCTGTAAACCGCAGCACAGTATGGTGGTCAGAAGTGTAATTACTGAAACTAACCACTGGAGGGCGACATTCACTAGTATACAAAAGAAGAGTCCAAATCCTGTTTTACAGAACAGATAACGATAATGTAATCTTGTAAAAATAATAAAGTAAAATGAGATAAAAATGAATAAAATATGATAAGATATTCATTTCAACAGTTTGACATGTCCCTGACGTTTCTAAAAGCAAAACAAAATAGCTTCTCTAAACTACGTTGTGTCAAACTACAAGCTACTGACTGCAGTGTAGAATGGAAAATTACCAAAAGACTGCTTCATCTTTATCTTTTTTTAATACACACTTTTAACGTCTTACTTTCAGAGACTGAACCTTCACACTGCATTTAGCAAAAACACTGGGCTCTCCGGTAGATGGTTTAACAAGAATGCCTTCATTGGGGAACAGATGAGGCAGGGTGTTAGAGCCATCTTTCAACATTTGGCAACACACACGTTGAATAGAGCCCATGTGGATATGAAAGTGATGTTGAGAGGCTGTTAGTGTTGCTGGAGAGACGAATGTATCTGCACTTCGACACACATTTCAGCTGCATTTATTGATATTTTTCTGAGATGAACAGAGAGAAGGATGAGTGGACAAAACCAGGTTTTTTTCCTTGTTATTTTATTATGATGTCATCACAGCCTTATTATTGCACATACCATAAACACGGAACTATTGCTTTTGTGGTTGATCAGTTCCAGAGTCCCTTAAACCTCAGCTTCATTTTGCCTGCAGAGATCTCATCTTGTTTCAAAGAGGCCAAGGACACATTCTGCTATACGGCGGGGGCTATAGCACAGAGATCTTTGTGGAGCACACAGCAGTTGGCCGAGGCTGAATAGAGGAACAATGTTTATAATGAATGGCTGCTTGTAAAGGATATTCATGAGTAAAGCCAATTAAGGACGCTTCCAGAGTGAGTTACTTGGTGCATGACATGGTAAAACTCGGAAAGGTGAGGCATTTCAAAGTAAAGCGTTTCCTCTACGTCTCAGTTCCAACAGATTTTCCCATACACCCGTTAAACCCTTTTCAAACCTCCTTATGCCTCGACAGCATGCCTGCAGTGGGCTCCCAGATCTAAATGCTTCAGTTCAAGTATGGCCTAGCAGCCTGCTGGTCTTGCTTAGGTGGTCTTGGCTGAGACCCACTGTGTAGCAAGTTTCACACATCGAGTGGAGATGAGGTGGACAAATGTGGCGAGGGAAAGGTTGAAGGGGTGAGGCAGGCTGTGAGAGACGGGGTCAAAAGAAGAGTGTGAGATTGTTGTCAGAGACTGGTCCCCGGACTAAATGAGTGGAGAACAGGGTTAAGTGCTCTATTTGTGCAACTATTAAAAGCTGGGAGTAGGGTACAGGGACTCGCAGAGCCAAATCTCATCAGTCACTGCCAATTTGAATCAGAACCAGCAACTCGTTTTTCTTTTCCTCCTTTTTCGGCAACTCCTCACCCCTCCTCTTCATGCGGACAAACAGACATTCCAGCAGCGGATGTGATGGTGGTTGTCCATAGCAACGTGCCATGCTGGGTGTATCTTGTGGGAGCAGGACCACTGAGTGAATGGCTAAGCCTTCTTCTAACAAAGACTGCGAATCTCTGAGATGCTTTGAGCTTCCATAGAAGCACTGTGACTTCTGGGCTGTGGGAGTGCTTTACATAATCCAGCAGCAGCTTCCCTCTGCTCTGCCACAGCGCTCTCTCCTGCTGCTCTCTGCACCTAACACACACGCCCCAATGTAGGTCGGCTCATCTTGGCGCATCCTCTGAAATTCTTTCAATCTATCATTCAGTGTGATAATCACAGTGTGCTCTTGGAGACAGGCAGCGTAAAGGTGTAGACCAGTCATGAGATGTATGTTCAACAGTTCTACCCGCATCTGCTGTATGAAATTTGAGAGAATAGTTTGAAAAGGCTCGACCGGGGGGGGGAAGAAAATGAGTGATTCCGATCACATATTTTGCTGGAAACATCAAATATAACAGTCACACTTTATTCCAGACAGCATATTATATGTAAACATTTAAGATCAATTTATTAATAATTTACTACCACCTTAAATGCAATAAATTATTGCATGAGTCACTTGTTTAAAAAGAAAATATGCTAAATTACTCTGCTAATATTTAGATTTTCTCGCAACATTCATTTATTCCACCACCTCAGAACTGTCACCCAGCAGCGAGTCTGCAACATTTCCAGCTTGAAACAGACAGTTTGATGTGTGTGGATGTTTTGATAAATTGGATGTACTTTATGGATATGAGTTCTTCTCTAACATCCTTTTGTTAGCTGGGATCAGCCAGCAGCTGACATTGTGTGCTCTGCTTCCTTTCGTGAGCCTCTCTGGGACTGCCAAAGCCAGCTGCTCCTCTGTGCCTCTCAACATCAACACATTTAACACAGATATGTAAACTGCACACTTCAATAACTCAGTGAGTCAAAGACTCAATCTTAATGGTATATGACTCCTCTTCCCCTCCCTCATTTTATTGGAGATGCTATGCTGTAAAAATATATGGGCATATATATCAGAAATACCCTTTCCCTTTTAATAACAGACTGGAAAAGATATGGGTGGTAGGGAAAGGCATTTTAACCCAGGGATTCCTCCGAGTCGCCGTTTCAGTAATTCAGGTAAACAATCGATGGCAGAAGGCTCGTTAGGAAATAAAACTATCTGCATGTTCTCTATAGTTAGCCCACTTTTCCATTCACCAAACAGGGATTTGCAGCTGGTAATGTAAAATTGATCTTTTACAACTTCTACCTGGAGAACTATCAAACATTACATTAAGGCACATAGCCATATTCAAAACATCACCACATACTGTATCTATGGGGCACAGAAACATCAGCTACCATTCCCCTCTAGCTGGAGAAATTCAGCATGTATTCATGAAAGCAGACCATTTTCCTCCATTAGCGTTTGAGTCATTTGAGTACATAAAGTTCATAATTACAGGGTAAGACACCAGTTTGCTTTTGTCGACACAACTATTGCTGCACTGTCTGTGTTGACAGTTTTGAGGCAGAAAAAAAGGTGTTTGTTGTACTGTATCTTTTCAGCCCTGCTATTAGTTATTATTAGCAATCCATTACAGAAATCCTCCATAGAAACAGCAGTTTAAGAGTGGGAGTAAAATACTGTTGCTTTGGTGAACACATGTCTGGAACTATGGCCATTAAGATAAAGGGATTCCATGATTAGAAATAGAAAAATGAACATTTGTATCAAAAGCAAAACATACCTTCCCGCAAAAAACAACCACATTAGGTTCTTAAATAGATCTAGGATGCAAAGCACATCTATCAAGATGTGAACGGATGAATTCTCAAACTGAAAGTTGATGAATTTGAGAGATTTTGTTTTTTATACATGTCCATTCCAGCTGTTCTAACCAGTCCAGGTTATGCTTTAGTCCACATTCACTCTAGGGTTGTAAGACCATCAACATTGTGCTGTTTGAACCATCAGTAGCATAATATACAAATGTACAGATACACAATAGAAATACATACATCATTTGTTATTACAATGAGACCTACAAAAAAGCATGAGAATAAAAAGTCTGTGGGGTATTGCAGGTGAGGCAAGCAGAGCCACAAATGTGCATCCAGACTGAGGGACACAGCCCCTCCTACCATGAGTAAGCGCATGTCTATTTACACTGCGTCATAACAAAGCTATCAAAAACAAAGGCTCCAAAAATTCCTCCTAAAAACTTTTTTTGTTCTTTTGTTTCTCTACATACAACAAGTTTTGATTTCCATGTATATACATCCCTAGAAAATAATTTCCATATAGTTACACACTTTCTACATATGTGAAACGATACAGTTCTAGTCCACAAGGAAGGTGTCTGCTTGTTTGTGCGTGTATGTGCACATATGTGACTGTTTATCTGTGAGCGTTGTGTGTGTGTGAGGCGGGCAAAGAAGAGGATAATGTTCATCAACTGGCTAACAGTCACAGGGGGCAGATTTGGAGAGTAGACTGGATGTGGTCACAGAGAGGAAGTAGTGGAGTCTACAATCTCTCTCCCGTTGCACACAGTGGGAACATAGTGGGCGCTGACAGAAGCTAGGAAAGGAAAAAGGAGCAAGGGGGTTAAAAGGGAAAATACAACTACACAGACAGAAAAAAAAGCATAGTTAAATATTCAATTTTGTTGGTGTCAAATTAGTAAAAGAAAAAACAACAACATCTTTGTCATACAGAATAGAAGGATACACAAATATTCATATTTTGCAGTAGAAATGACCCTGCAGCAATAACCCCCCCACCCTCTTCCCCCCACACACACACATTTAACATATTTTACATTTTTACTAAGTCTTGAATTACTCACAGGAACTTACTAACATTAGGAGTTGTCAGGTAATAACAATTCTCAGCTGAATAAGCCCTGTGGAAACACTCACCAACCGGGCTGCTCCAAGAAACTGAGTGATCTGGAAATAAGCTAATTGGTTTGGGTATCTACAATTCAGGGGAGTCTATAAATACAACCCATGTTCTTTTAGTTTTAGTTTCCACTATCCAAAATACCATTAAGCAACGTGAGTTTACAGAAACTGTGGAAATCAAGACAGCATCTGAGAGAAAATGTTCAGATAAAACTGCAGGTCTGCTGGGCAGGAAGTCTAATCAAAACCACCCACTACAAAACAGTTGCTGGAAGCTTTAGCTAAAATAGGCGTGGTGGTGCGCTGTTCCACTGTGCAGCACTAATGCACAAACTGGGTCCCTACATCAAAGAGTCGTCAGGAATAAAACATTACCTGTGACCTCATCACTAAAATCAGTGTCTGATGTATGCAGAGCAACATCTGGATAGGTCAGAGATGAAGCTTTTTTGGCCACACTCACCAGGGATTTTTCACCAGGGGGAAAAAGAAGCACTATTTCATGAAAACATGCCAATGGCTGCCAACTGTTAAGTAAGTAAGGAGGTTGGGAATATTATAAATAGTAATAGACAGGGAAATATTGTACTTTTTGTTGAGTACAGAATGTTGAGCATATAATCAAATAACCTACCATGAGATGCATATGAGGTGGCAGCCCCGCTGACACTGAAGCGATTAAGGTTAAGCCTGTGGCTGGTTACATTCTTTTGGGGCTGAAACATGATGATGTGGACCTTGGGGGCAAACATGCAACCCAGCACCACAAAGCCACTCAAGCTGACTGAGATACACATGGTAGTTGTCTGAACCTGCAGAGGAAACATAAGAAGACAGTAATTAGTAGCCAGGTTAGCACAAGACATCCATCCATGCATCCATCGATCTAGCTATCAGCCACATTGTGAGCAGTTTGCAAGTCTATCACTGTCACATGGACTAAATCGTTTTTGCTAACATTTGCATCTACGGTCAGCTGAGACTTGCCAGTAATCCTGACATGCATGCTTTTGTACTGTTTCAGTTGCTATTACAAACTAATTTAATGATAACAATCTATAATAATGAAAATACTTCAAAGGAACATTTGAGTGCTTATGACAAAGTGCTTTGAATAGAATTAGAAATGAAAGCAAATGCTGCTAAAGACACTAAAGAAATGGATCTCTGTGTCTGCACACGCTGCAGATAATCATGCATGTAAAGTGAGAGCACAAGTCTTTGTTAGCATACTTTGTTAGCTTATAACACTTACTAGAATCTATCAATAAAAGACTTAATCAACAGAGACCACAGTGGCCAAAGTCTCTCACTGGAGGGAAGCTTTAATTTTATTCTCTGTGAAATCAATGCCAATTAAGTACACTCTTATTCTCTCTTGATTCCTGATCTCCAGCACGCAGCAGTGCGCACTATATGTTGCTGTATCCCGCCATAATCGTTATCACAAGTGTTACAAATGTTTGAATAACAGCAATTCCCAGTGAGATCACAGTACATTTGAGCATATCAGCAATAAACCCTTCAACGTCTCCTCTGAGTACGTATGTACATACCGGTAGAGTATGTGAGTGGGCGGGTATGCATATTGGCGATGTTTTTCCCATATCTGTCTAATCTTACAGTAACATTACGTCAAAAAATGCATATTTAGAGGGGTGGAGAGGAGAGCTAGAGAGAGTATGAGAGTGAGCGAAAGAGGGTCATTTATTTGACATTTTACGGGGATCAAATGAGCAGCCCTGGCATCAGCACTCTATCAGCACTCCTCTCTTGCGCCCTTTGATACAACGTGTGCATTTGTGGAGTGTGTATATAAGGTGTGTGTGTGTGTATGCCTAAGATTTGTATGGTCAGGTGAACATTCACTCCCCGTTGCTGTTAAATCTGAACATGTGTCAGCAGTTTGACAGAGCTTGTTCAAGTGTCACTCCCAGTACTGCACAGCTGGGACATTTGCCAATAGGATTAGGAATTGTTGAAGTTGTGACTACACCTATGTGATTTCTGCTTTGTTAGCTGTGCATCTTTAAAAAAAAAATCATGTTGAGAAGATAAAAACTGCTCAAATAACCGCATTACATACTTGAAACACCAAAGCGAGTCAGTTGCCATAGAGTCCCATTGTAAAACGCTCATCTTTATCACAGAAATAAAAAACTTTTAAGGTGGAACATGAAACAGCTTTCTATTCTAACTGAGCACTCAAAACGCTTTATACAACATCCAACATCGAAATGTCTACATATAACTTTTGCAGTCTATGGGAAAAAACAGTAAATGTGAAACTGCCAATAGTTAATTTTTACCACAAACAGCCCAGAGTATTTAATTCTGCTTTTTATTTGGACCATAAGCATAACATCACAGTTGTGCTGCTGCTAGATAGTTTTTAAGGTTAGGCTTGCATCTTGTTGGGCTAGAGTCAGATCAGTGTCCTCCTTAAATACAGAAACACGCACTCGTGCATGCATGTGTATGTTCAAAACCATACCCTGTAGTCACTGGATGTAACATAGAAGATAGGAAGAAAGGCCAGCCAAATTATACAGGTGGTGTACATAGTGAATCCAATAAATTTGGCCTCATTGAAGTTCTCAGGGCACTTCCTGGTCTTAAAGGCATACCTGGTGGAGAAGAGAATCACATTTTTAAGTTGACAAAATACCCTTTTCATTTCAGCAGTTCCTGATTTGATCTGTAGAACATAAACTACTTTATATAGTACATTTTGGGTAGTTGTGAGTTTAGTTGTGACACACTTACACAGTACACAAGATGACCAGGAGCACATCATATCCCAGTGACAGCAGCATGCTGGAGTCACGTACATTACACTTCAAGATGACGGTCTGTCGTCGCTCCGGCAATGTAAAGCGACGCGTGCCGGGGACTTCCAGCAGCAGCCATACTGACACCATTACTAACTGGACAGAGATTAGACTCAGACAGATGAACACCTGGAAAAAAAAGGGAAAAGAGGAAGTAAGGTCATCGAGATCTACTGTTTGTCCATCCATCCATCCATCCATCTGACTGATGCAGATGGATAGACATGATGCTGCAATCACTCACCTGAGAGGATGGGCTAATGAAGCGTGGCCTCACGGCTCCCGCTCCGTCTTTCACACCATTGAAAATCCTGGCGATTCTGTTGGTTTTGGTGAGAAGGGCGGAGTAGCAGACAGCAAATGATGTGCCCAGGCCAAGGCGGCGCAGGGCACAGATGGCAGGAGAGGGTTTGGCCAAAAAGAGGAAAGTCATGGCGTAGGACATGAAGACTCCTAAGAGGAGGATATAACACAGTTCTCTACCTGATGCTTTTACCAGTGGTGTGTTGTTGTGTCTGACGAACACCCAAATCACCAGGCCGGTGCACATGAATCTGGGGACAGGGAGGAAGTTGCAGCCAGACATACAATCAGTGTCATGAAGTCACTGCTTATATGCTGTCACACACATAAAGCATGGTTATAAATAGCAAAATTGACTTAAACAATCAACAAAATATGCTGAAATCAGTATATGCTCATGTCATTGTCTGTGCATAGCTATGAAAATCTCTGTATCTGTATGACGCTGAGCCTCGGCTGACCACGTGCTAAGTTTTTCCTCACTTACTTATTGTTGTGAGCTACTTCTGTTCAGTTTCCCTGTCACTTACCCTACACATGCAATGGTAATTGGGCCAATAGCCCAGGCATCTTCCCACATAATATAGTCCTCGGGAAGGTCATAACAGGACGTCAGGTCGTCAGTGGGCCACTGGCCAGGAGCGCAAGGTGAGCAGGTAAACTCATCAGCCAGGTATTCATGAGGCTCACAGGCTGTACAAATCCAGCAGCAGTACTCACCTGGGAAACAAGAATATGAACAGTTTGTGGCAGATTTTCCAAAGGTGCTGCTACCTTGAATGTCACTACAACAAAGACGAAATTAATGAAATTCACCGTCCTACCTGCCTGCATTTTCTTCATCTCATTGCGCTCACAGGGGTCGCTGCACTGCGACGTGGGCACTACTTCTCTGGGCCAGCGAATTAAATCACTGCTCAGACTTAAACTCTCTGCCCATTCACCTACTGGCACGTAACCATAACGATCACCAGAGTGCTGGTAGCTGAAGATGTTGTATCGGCCTACGCCATCCCCCTGGGTGTCAAACTTCACTACTGTCTCGCTGCCTGGAGGAGAAAATGGGGCTGAAGAGAGAACACAGAGACAAAGAGTGGAAAAAAGGCGATAAACCCAGTGGGAAAGGAGATCAAAGCTTAACAATCACAAACAATCACCTTATTGAGGTCTCATTGATGTCTTTTAAAAGCAGCAGTGAAGAGAGGGACAATAAGCAATGGTCAGTAAGCCTTAGGAGTCCAAAACAGATAGTGAAAGGCACTACAAAAGTGTTTTCATTACTGAAGACCAGCCAGTCACAAAAGTGTTTTCTAAAAGGCTATAAATGCCCAGTATAATTGGTGATGTGTGTGTCACTGGCCTCCCACCTGTCCATAAGGTCACCTAGGGACAAAATTGCTGTTCTAAAATCAGATCTGATAAAGTTTATTACCAGATGCATCATTAACAAGCTGCCCATAAAGCCATATAGGCATGGAAGCAGAGAATTGAATCCCTTGGTAATGCTATAGCTACCCACACAATGATAGATTTAGCCTCTGGGTCTCTTCTGTGAGTGAGGTGCACTGCTGAAACTGCCAAATTGGTTTGTATACATGTTGTTATGAAAGGATTACCATCTACCCTGAGGATGTGGGAACAGAAGAGATTGTAAAATTGGCAGGATGTGCGGTCACCATTAAAAAAACAAATAGAAAAGGGCTATGGACTGGGAAAACAGTAAGTTATTGATGCTTTGCAGGCAGTGCTGGACCTGACAGTGCTGAAAGTTGGTTGTTTTGACACAGACAAAGTGTATGCCACTCCTATTGTGCCATCGCTGTCCTTTACAGCAGAGCAGGCAGCTCTGTATTGCTGACACACAGGCTTGCGTGTTATACGGTGGTGCCTTGTCGAAAGATGATGTGACTAGAGAAATCACAGTGTATGCTGGGTTTATAAAGCACCGTTCTTCAATTTGTAACAAGGCTCTCGGTCCTCACCGTGCAGCTTGCTTTGATGATGCTATGCCGCCTTCCTCATATCTCTTTGTCTTTGGGTAACTGAATAAATCGTGGGCTGAATTCATTCTCCATACATACAGCCTGGGATCAGTAGAGTGAATCAGGATACAGATTGTGAATAAGCTGTTGGGCTGAAAAGTTTGCATGTGTGTACGTGTAAGGATGTGCACACAAGATTGAAGCTCGATTAGGTTTTGCTTTACAGTTTGATGGCTAAGGTATTGCTCTGAGCGCTGTGGGAGGCAGTGCTGACAGAACCAAAGCTCTGACCCTGCTGTTAGCTGTGTGTGTGTGCGAATGTGTACGTATGTGCACGCAGCACTGACAGGGGCTAAAGCTGTGCTATTGTTGTGATAGTTCAGTGTGCTCAGAAAAGAATGGCGTGTCAGATGGCAGCAGAGGGGGTTAGGGTTTATGAAATCCATAAATCACAGAGACAGCACAACTCTCTATCTTTCTCCTCTCTCATCTCCCTCTGTCACAGGAAATTCTAACTGTCAAGTCTTCTTTGGATTTTGCAGCTAAATGTTTAGGTGACAGCTAAATGAAAATGATTTCAATAAGAAGGTGCTGATAATATCTTGAGATAAAGGAGATATATGAATCCATTATGCTGCACGTCGCCAGATAATAAAGTCTGCTAATATCAGCAAGCAATAAGGCAAGCTGGGACCTCCTCCTTTTAAACACCAATACACACTGACAGAAGACGTTACCAGTGGCTAATTATCATAACTGCACCTTATTAGGACCTTAGATATGTGCTGAGGCCTAATTAGCTGCATGTGGTAATTACGTGTAATACAGACGAAAGAGATAAGAGTATTGGCCTACAGAGCCATTTGAAGGCACTGTTTTTGTCCTTGACTTCCCGCTAACACATCGCATTCAGGCAGCAATAGACTCAGAGGACCGGTGATTCCTCCTTATTTCCAACATCAGTGACCTCGCTGACATGACAGAATGGCTTATCAAGAAAGTGGATGAGGGTGCAAGTCAGAGCTAGCGAAGGCCACCAAGATTCAACTGACTGCAGAGAGCGGAGACACGCAGCCCAGGTTATTGACTGATGGACAAAATTCTCTCTCTTCATCACTGTCCTGGACTGAACTAAAAAAAAATAAAACTAAAACAACAACAACAAAGGTTTTTGTTTTGACAGGACTAAGCATCTATGGCCGTAGACTCACTGAATCAAACTTCTGAGCATGTTGAAATTTTGAGACTGGCCATTTAAATAATAGCTAAAACAGTTAATAAATATTTGTCAGTCCACATCTCCAGCCTGTTTTGTTGAATTAAAAAATATATATATTTAGGATTTCCTGATTTCCCAAATAGTTACAAATCTCTCTCTCTCTCTCTCTATATATATATATATATATATATACTGATCATGTAATTCACTTGCTGGGCGCACGTCCTTATTTGAGGTTTGACAGCGGTTTAGTAAATAAAGATGAATGGCTTGGACATGAATTGAGGTGCAGTTTAGGCAAGGCCTCGAAGTGGACTGGTGGCGGCTCCCGAGCCTGGCAGATCCCCATGTACTAAATAGAAGTGAAGAAGTTAAAGAATTGAAAAGGGGAGGGATGGTGGGGCGCGTAAACGAGAATGAACAGCTTGTAGAACTGGGGGAACTTATAGAGATGAGAACCGGAAGAGCGTGTTTGGAGATGTGGTCCTGCACCTGAAATTCAGATACTTTATCTCCAATTACAGCAAGTTAGGGCACCACAAATGTGCTTTTACTATCAACAGGTTAGCTGTGGCCATATTATACCAACTAAAAGTGATTATAGTGGCCATGTCCTTTAAATATAGTCTTGGTAAACATCAACAGATGCAACTCTAATGTCATCGATACTCATCGAGATCCATTTATCTTATGAAAATGCACGTATTAAATTCAGTTCCACCGATGGACCGAACAGGGAACCAGTCTGCCCAGTCTGGTGACGAGCCATATGTCCAATTATGAGCCGGTCTGTTTCATGCATGCGCAACACATGCTACACGCACAGCGGGGCAGGCAAATAGTGCACACTCATAACCACACATTAATATATTGTTAGCATGGAAGCTCTTCAGAAAGCAGTTGTCTCTTTGTCTTCAAAGTTTGCCAAAGTAAACCATGTGTGGACGAGTGCGAAAACATTTGTAACAACAGACCTAATCAGGCACTTAAATCACCCTCACCCAGCTGAATACAGACATTTTAAAGAAACTAACAAAGACAAAGTGGCTAAAGCTAAAGCTATCCAGTGCACAGAGTCAGCCACACGCCTGCAGGCTCTATATGAGCCTCGGTATGAGCAACAGATCAAAGCACTTAAGAGGAAAGTTATGGAGACAAATGAAAAAGTGGTTGTTGTCCTGTTATCTGTTAAAGTTATAAACATACTGGAAAATAATGTAAACACCTTAAATTAACATTGTTGTATAAACCTGTTACACCTAAATGTCAGCTGATGATGGGTGTACAGTATCTTTTTCAGGTAGCAGAACACTTATTTTTCAGATATTTAATAGACAATGTGCTGTAACTTACTGCAGTTTTGGGGGAATTGTAAAGTTTAATTTGGTAATTTCTGTATAATTTTATTTGGTGTTGGTTTTGGTTCTTAGAAAGAAAATCAGAACTGGGAAAATCAGCATAGGCAAGTCACTTTTAGGAAAACAAATCAGAATTGACAAAGAAAATTGAAATCTCTAATATCAAATAAAGTTAGACTCATTTAACCAGCTGGAAACCTCAATAAAGCCTCAGGATCTTTATAGCAAAGTTGAAGCACTGTGACAGGTCTTTGTGTTCAAGTCCGGCATCTCAAATATGCAAACTGTCTTTTTCGACCGACCTGCAGTGTTTCCGAAACAGTGTTGCTTAAAAAATGATTTTTAAAAAGCCTGTTCATATTATTTCCAATGTGCACAAAAGCCTTGATCTGTCAGCTACTTTTCTACAACATGTTTCTGTTACAACAACACGCTGAACAATAAACTGACGGAATGATTTGTAGCGATGCTTCCTAACGGCGGCTCTTAGGTTTCCATGTGTAACAGATCTTTTAACGCAACCTAATACAGTGTTATAGATGATTCTGTGTCACCTCATCCACACAATACTTCCCTACTGCTCCGGGTGACTTTTTATGCCCGTGAAGTGTCATCAGCAAACAAAAGACCAAGCCTCACTCACTGACATCCAGCAATACTGTCAGCCAATTCATCTGCCATGTGGTACACTAGAAGTAGAGTAGAAACGGTGTCTCACAGGCTGGGTGAAACATAGGGTTTGCTTTGTCCCAATCAAATCTAAATATACAACTATCTTACTGCAATGGCAACAAACTCTTTCATTTTTGTAATGGCACTTGATTAGACAACTGGGAGAAATGAAAATTAAACAGCAAAAAATACAAAAAAAGAGGGAAAAGAAAGAAAAAGCAAATCAACTTAAGCAAGACAAACTGTAGTTATAAAGCAGCCTAACCAGAACCCTAATTTTTGCGAAACACTTAGCATTCCCACTAACTTGAGAAACACCTTATTATTCTAGCTTAATTAGAAGCATGGTGAAAACAGGCTTTTCATTCAGAAGCTGAGAAATTAATTATGTTATCGGCCATGTCGGGCTAAAGCAAAGCCCAAGGGGGATTGTGGGTATTAAAGGCAGGGGGAGAGAGCGAGAGGAGGCAAAGGCGGCTTGGGATGAATAAGTAGGAATAAGTCATCTAAAAGCGGTGAAAGTGAAGTGCACAGATTTACGTGGAGAGGGTAAATCTTTTTTTGTTTTTGCTTACGTGACTTCACACATACATGCACTCATGTCCCCTCAGTGCATATATGCAGGTGTTCACTCACATGTCACAAATTCACACACAGAGGGATCACATTAGTTATATTTGTTCTCCCTGTGGATTTGGTCCAAGGGGATGGAGGCGCTGACTGGGTCACAGAACAACAGGCCACAGGGGAACAGAGGACAGATAGGGTAGAGAAAAGGAAGTCTAGAGTAAGGGACAGAAATGTATAGGAGGTAAAATGTAGCGGAAGAGAGCTGAGGCTTGACTGAAAGAAAGGTGGTGAGATAGAGGAGACAAAAGAAAGAAATGGCAAGAGAAAAACAGAAGGTGCTGGGATGGAGAATGAGCCAAGAGACAAGATAAGGGCAAAGAAAGGAGGGAAGTGACAAGCGAGTAGAGGGAGAAGAATACAAGAGAAAGAGAAAGGAGATAGCAAAAGTGAAAAGCAAGAAACTGATGTCATGGTAGCTGAGATACAGGTGGATGGAAAGGAGAGCCTTTAGAGAGAGGAATCAACAGAGAATAGGTGAAGGCTGGATGGACAGATGAGCAAAGTGAGGGAGAGGAGTGGAGAAGCAGACTGGCGCAGAGAGGCAGTGGAGGCAGGAGAGCAACCTTGTGAAGTCTGAGTGGGATGTGCTGTTTTTGAATGTAGGAGAGAGTAGGACACTTTCCGGGTGAGAAAAAAAGGGGGACAAGCATCTAGAAAAGACGGAGTGATGAGGTGGGAGAGAAAGAGTGATGGAAAGACAGACAGCGACAAAGACAGAGAGACAGAGGAAAAGAGACTGAGGGAAAAACGAGGGAGAGAAAATGAGTGAAGGTTGTTCTCTAGCATCTAAACGTTGCAGCAAGCTCAATATGGCCCTGAAGGCACACCGCCTCTGCTAACACAGACATATCACACACACACACACACACACACACACACACACACACACACACACACACACAC